GTGGATGTGGTACATTCCCAGTCTCGCCATTCGTAGCACCACACAACAATTTGTCAAAGAGACAAGTGAAGCCCATCCCTTGACCAAATGTGTTCTAAACAATTGTGATATCTCACCTTCTGCCTTAGTAATTCACATTTCCTATATCCTCCCATCACACCTTCAATGCTACACTTTGTCCCCAACTTATTTCGATGTCGTGTGGTGTGCTTCTGTGAGCGACATTCAGGAAAACTCTTCACATCTCACTCTGTCGTTATCACCCCCTTCACCCCTGTCTCTTTGACGAGTTGTTGTATGGTTCTACGAATGGCGAAACTCACGGACGATGCTGGCGAAACATCTGGGAATGTACCACGGCCACAGCCCGACTTTGGAAATGATGATGCACACAATGGACTCCGGACTAGCTGCGTTCCTCTACGTCGTCCTAGCAACATGACCAAGTTGCGAAAACAAGGTCAAACAACTTCTAAATACTTGATAATTACGGAGGCATCGCTTGGTCTACAAAATGTTGAGCTCACTCTCAGATCGAGTTAGGAGAGATGTTTGTCGATCGCACCGGAAGACGACGGCTGCTCACTGGAACCTCCTGGCAGATGCTGTTCTCGAGAAACTCTTCTGAGATATCGGTGGAAAAGAGCTGACCTCTCGTCTTCCTTGCTACTTTTCATATATTTTCACAGCAGCCGATTATCCCTACAGCCTGTAGATATATGCTAAACTTGAGCTTTTTCTGTGAGGTACAGTAACATTTGTTCAATTCCTGTCAAAGGTCGATCTCGAAACTTGTGCGCATGTATGTACTTCTGTGATATGAGATGTATTCACACAATTTCGTTAAGGTTATGAAGGACTGGTAGAAGAAGAATTTTCCCAAAATCATGTGAGTAGAGCTGACGTTTCCATTCAATTTCACATAGCCTTGGTTTCCCAACAGTCGTTCTCATCCAGGCAGGAGTGGACTGCAGTTTCTACATCTCATACTACTGATTTACTGGTAGTCTCTAAACAATACTTAAATGCGAAAAATATACTAAAATTATCTTGACAACTAACTATCAAAATAATCCTATATCTAGCTACCTTTATAACAATTTATTTTTGTTATATTCGCATTTAAGTAATGTGTCGAGACTAACAGTAAATCAGTAGTATGAGATGTATTAACCTAATTTCGTTTAAGGTGATGAAGGACTGACAGTAGAATTTTCCCACAACCATGTGAGTAGAGCTGACGTTTCCATTCAATTTCACATAGCCTTGCTTTCCCAACAGTTTTTCTCATTCGGGCAGGAGAGGACTGCAGTTTCCACATCTCATACTACTGATTTACAGGCAGTCTCAAAACAATACTTGAATGCGAAAAATATACTAAGATTACCCTGACAACTAACTATCAAAATCATCCTAGATCTAACTAACTTTATAAGAATTTATTTTTATTATATTCGCATTTAATTATCATGTCGAGACTAACAGTAAATCAGTAGTATGAGATGTATTCACCCAATTTCGTTCAAGGTGATGAAGGACAGGTAGTAGAAATTTCCCACAATGATGTGAGTAGAGCTGACGTTTCCATTAAATTTCACATAGCCTTGCTTTCCCAACAGTTTTTCTCATCCAAGCAGGAGTGGACTGCAGTTTCGACCTCGCATCGGTCTTATCAACAAGGATATGTGAAATTCAATGGAAACGTCATTGTGGGAAAATAATTCTGCTACCAGTGCTGCATCACCTTAAACGAAATTGTGTGAATACATCTCATACTACTGATTTACTGGTAGTCACGAAAACAATACTTTATTCGAAAAATGTACTTCTGTGTGTGCCCGTGTGTTTAGATGCTTGCGTAAGGGCTCGAGTATTTACAACAGAGTGCAAATTCAATTCTTGTAAAAACAAGGTTTAATGCTTCAGTTGCGTAGAGGGCAGGTGTACTTCTGCAGACCTTTGAGAGTTTATCGTTTATCAGCAAAGTTAGTGTTCGCCGGTGGTGAGGTTGGGCCTGTAGATGAACACAAAGACAGAGCAATTTTAGCTTGCTTGTTCGGCTAAAAGGGAAATGGATCGCGAAATGCGGCGGCTGGGTGGTTAGGACAAGAGGAAAAATTGCAGTTGCCCTAAAGCGCCTTGACGACAGAGTCAGCAGGTCGAATGGACAGAAAGATTTAGCTCCTGAAACGGCCATGGTGGAGGTAGGGTCTCATAAAACCTTCCGAGGCAATGGCAAGAGGATAGACACTACTGTTTTAATAACAGTCAGTAGTCAGAATTTGATATAATTCGTTTTTTTGCAGACCAGATGACTAATTATGCTTCGAAATGGGCATGCAAATCTAAGGAATCCCAGTCATTTAGTTTCGTTCTTGCTAAAGTTATGTATTAGTTTGCTTATTCTACAGGCAATTGTTTGAATGAGTTTCTTCGAGAAAG